AAGCTTCATGTTGGATCCTAATGATAAGCACACAAATGTTCATTGTGTTGAATTGCCTTGGTTAACCAAATGTTCATTTGTGGCATTTCTGATTAGCTGAAACCAACAACTAAAACTTGTTAGTTCGAATCATTGTTGGAAACCCAATTCAAGGCTTCTTGCATCTGAGTCTTCAATCATTACACAAACGATTTCTGGAAAATTAGAGTATCACGAATTAAGGCAGAAAATTTCAGGATCTTACCTGAACACACAGAGACCAAAATCATAAATCATCAGCAACATAGAGGAAAAAAACGGCAAAAAAGAATCTCGTAGCTTAAATCGACAAGCTTGAAGTCTTTTGGTAACAATTGGAAGCATAAGCAAACAAAGGGAGATACTGAAGAGTCAGAATCTGGTAAAAAAACATGGAGAGATTTGAACAATATGAATGAGAAGAATGTGCCACGTCCCTATGAACTCAGACTTCCATAGCCTTCGAGAAACCCAACACCCACAAATCATTCTTCTTTGGGGACGAAGCTGACGGTGTTCAGAGAATCGACAAAAACTCTCAGTTTCAGAAAAGAAGATGGTAGAAGAATGAGCAAAGAAATCCAGAAAATAGATCGAATCACAATCACTGTGTTGTAAACGCCAACGATTCGTCGGATAGAGAAGATGAATTCTACGATATCCAGGATTGGTATAACGACAACGAAAATGAAAGTGGTGGGAAGTCGTGGAAGAGAGGTTGAAGAGTTTGTGGAGAAATTTGAGGAGGTGGATCGGTGGAGTTATTAAATTAACCCAACCCCGTTATTATTAAATCTTTTATTTATAAGTTATTATTAAATGTTTTATTATTTTAACCAAATATGTTATTGAAATGTTTAAAACGTTATTTTTGTCAATTGCAAAATTTTTATTATTTTTTTATGAAGGGTATTTTAGTAATTAACAAATACAAACAAAAAATAAACATCTAATTAAATTTATTTTTTAATGATAATGGTCGATGTCATTTATTTTCAACACAGATTCGTTAAAGACTCTTCGTGATTCATTTTTCGTGATCTTCGTTTTTTATTTAATCGATCGATTATGTTAATCGATTATCTTAAATTGTTTGATTTTCATATAGATTTAGTTTATATGGAATCATTATCTGAAAGTGATTCTAGTAGATTAGGGTATTTAATCGACAAAATTGATCAGTGTCCGTCGATAGTTCGATCTGATTTCAATTGCTTTCAAGGTGAAGTATCATCGTTTTCTCTGTCGGATTCAATGTGTGTTCAAAGTAATGTTCAAATCGTATCAGGAACAGATCAATTTAAATGTTCAATCTTTAGGCCAGTTTCAAGTTGAATCTGATGATGATATTGAAATCGAAGGTGAATCAGCAGCAGATATCTTGTTTTTTTTATTAATCTTCTTTAAATTACTTTTACTCATTCTGCTACTAATTTAATTCGTTTTTAAATATTTTAGATGAAAAAATTCCTTAATTTTTTTGTTTTTCATTTGTTAAAGTTATTAATTTGGACTTTAATCTCTTATTTTTTGTTTTTTTGTTTATTAAAGTGAGTTTCTTTATTTTTGAGCTGTAACTATTGATGTTATATCCGTTATTAGAATGTGAATTGTTTTGTTATGTAGTTGTTTGTAAATGTATAAAATAGTGTTTTTTTTGTTAATGTTATTTTTTATTTGTAATTACACTGTGAATTCTTAAGTTTTTTGTTTTTTTTAATAATTTTTGTATTTTAATCTCATAAATGGTTTTTTAACTGTAAGTATGATGTTGTAGCTGTTATTATCGTGTGAATTTGTTTTGTTATGTACTTGTTTTTACATGTAAATGTATAAAATAGTGTTTTTATTTTTTAATCTTATTTTATATTTGTAATTACACTGCGAATTTTTTTTTTTTTTTGTTTTTTATTTATAATACTTGTATTTTTATTTGATAAATGTTTTTTTAACTATAACTATGATGTTCTAACTGTTATTAACATGTGAATTTGTTTTGTTATGTAGTTTTTACATGTAAATGTATAAAAAGTATATATATTTTTTAATCTTATTTTCCATTTGTAATTATATTGTGAATTTTCAATTGTTTTGTTCATGTATTTATAATATGTGTCTTTTAATCTGATATATGGTTTTATTTTTCTTATTAGGTCAACGTATATCTTCTGATTTTTTCTCTCCTACCGGGAACTCGTAAAATATGGATTCCTGAGAATGGTGATGATGTTAAACCAAAGTTGTATAGCAAATATCTAAGTGTTGATGATGCAATAAATATGTATAAGGCTTAAGCTGCTAAAGCTGGTTTTGATGTAAGAAAGGGTTCTACAATGTTAAACAAGAAGTCACGTGTTCTTACTCATCGATCTATGTTGTGTAGTAGAGAAGGACTTCCTCAAAGTGTTTATGTAGACACGACTGATCCTAAAAAAAATAAAGCTCAGAAAAATTCCAATATTAAAAGGAAAGGATGCCCAGCTTTTGCAAAATTTAGAAGCGTAGGAAGTTCAGAAATTTTTGAGCTATATAAAATTGAAGAAAGGAATAATCATGATTTGGTTACAGAAGATTATAGGCATTTTTTAAGGTCTAACAGGCAATTGGACAATGTTGCTCAAGAATTCATTGAGAAGATGGGAAGGGTAAAGATTGGTCCAATGATAGCATACAGAATATTGCAAGAATTAAGAGGCTCATACAATGTTGGAGGGATTGTTGTTGACTACAAGAATCAGTCTAGAAAAGTGAAATGTTTTATTGGAAAGGATGATGTGCAGATGGTAGTTGATAAGTATTTAAATAAAATGAAAGAGGATCCAAGCCTTACATTTTAGTTTATATGTGATAAGGGAAAGTTGGTTTCACTTTTTTGGGCTGATGAAGCTGCAAAGGTGAATTATAGAGAATTTGGTGATGTTATTTCCTTTGATGCTACGTTTCGGACGAACAAGTAATTTTTTTATATTTAGTTTTCTTATATTATTCTCTTTTGTTGTTTGTATATTAACTTTTGTTATATATTCATTGGTAAGATAATCTTTTTGCTCAGCCTCCATGTTTGGTGTGTTTGGCTTTTTATCTTCAAAGTTTGGATTATCATATTCTCTTTCTGTTGTAGCTTCTTCTTCACCTTTTTCTGTTTCTAAATCATGTCCAAACTCTTTTTCACCTGTCTCATTTTCATTTTCTTTTTCTCTTGTTCTTGATGATTCGCCAATGTTTTTGTTAAACACTTTTTCAATGTTCACAAACCTTTCAAACCATCCACATAGTTCTCTATCATCTGGATATCTTTGAAGTGCATGTTCCAATGTTTTTTGAATTCTGTTTCTACACTCCAAAATGGTTTTAAACTCACTTTCTATCAAAAGACAATAATTCTGCAATAAGTATTAAATTATTGTTAGTTTATAGGTACATTTTTATAAAAATCAATTCACAACGTAAGTTGCAGTTCACAGCTTAATAGAGTAAGTTCCATTATTACCTCTGTACCAATGTCATCATTTTCTTTTGTTTCTGGATCTTTTTCAACTTGTTTTCCTTTTCCTTTTTCTTTAATTTCTTCTTCATATTTGTATTGTACCAAATCAACATCTTCAACCAATGTGACCAATCATAACTGACCTTGAGCTTTTTCAATGTTTTGCCTTGATTTAATTTTTCCATAATTCCAGTAGCATATTGGTCTTATTTTTCGGTTGACATATTGGTTTTGACAATCAGTTGAATATAGATAGAGAAATTGTGAATTATTTGGTAAAAAATTAAAATATTATTTATTTTATTCACTTTGATGATGTGCAATGCAATTTAATTTAAATTTTACTTACAAGAAAGAATGGAAGTGGTCCAGCATAGTAGACGCCTTTGTTTCTTGGTTTCCATGAAGTTCTACTATGTGGCAAAGCATCACTAAGATATTTGCAAAAGTTTATATTTTTTCCAGTCTTCAATTGTTGGCATCTTCATTGTAATGCTTGTTTGTAAACCTGCATAAGATTTTTTCTTTATCATTGTATTCACAAACAATGTAATGAAATTTAACACAAAGATTTGATCTGTAACTTCCGAGGCTTCTATAAGTTCACAAAGAGTTTGTTGTGATTTTGTTACATCAGGATGTTGTTTCCATTGGACAATGATATCGTTGTGTTCCTCACACTCATTCACAGTAGATAAATTTATTTCGGTTTTTGATATTCCAAAGTGTAAGTCCTAAAACTGTGGATCTTATGCAATATCAATCTAAATTTCTTAAAGAATGCGGAATTTTAATTAAGAAATGATTCAAGAACACACAAATTCATTTAAAATGCACACGATTTTATTAATAAAAACCATCTGGTTCATGAGAACTTGATACAGACGAGAACAATAATAATCAACAACTAAACTCCTATACGGTAATATCATACATATATATATATATATATATATATATATATATATATATGAACCTAGTACCAAGCCTATTAAAGCCCAAGCTCATGCATGACCGAAATCACTAGCCCCATTCCAGTGAAAACTTTGCCAACAGCTTCAAATAATTCATTTTCTACAATAAGTTGAAAATGTGACAAAGTATGAATATCACGTTCTCCAAAATTTAACAAATCTTTGGGATCGACAATGCGATACTAGCCTTTTTTCAGCTTGATCACCGCCGACGCGGTAACCTCATCATAAACCCAGAATTGCATTGAGTCCAAAGTGCCTTCCGGTAAATGTCAGGGAAGCGGAATCCTTTTAGCCTACTTTGTAGGCGGCCACATAACATTCACCATGGTTTTATTAGTGTGAGAATCAATGACATCCTTATCCTTTTTCGTGAACGATGAAGGAGTCTTCATGCCTTTAAATTTATTTTTAGCTTGATCCTCAAGATACCTCTTAAAATCCCAGGCCGCAGAGTCATTGGTTGGATTGTTGAAAGGAGCGTGAATAAGTTCAGCAAGATCAACTTTTGTCCAGGACATAAAGTCATCTGATTCTCATAATACTCAATTCGACTACTCTTTCGCTTCACGACCCACATTTTCTTGTCTGCATCATATCCCCACATCAAAATGCCAGAGCGATCTCCATACTTGTCAGTAAATTTCTTCCCAGTTTCCCTTAAAAACATTTCAGGGTGATCACCTGGAACATTCTGATCTGAATGCTTCATCACTAACATCTTCCTTTTAAGCTGCTCGTCAGTAAATTTCTTCCTAGCTTCCCTTAAAAACATTTCAGGGTGATCACATGGAACATTCTGATCCGAATGCTTCATCACTAACATCTTCCCTTTCAGCTGCTCAATTTAAGCTTGTTTCCCTCTTCTTTCTTGAGCAGAAGAAGGACAAGAAGATAAAAATGTGTCAAGATTTGCGGTCGGAACATGTCTTATAACTCTTTCACTTGCATGTTGAGAAGGTGGATTGACTGGATCAGAACTAGAAACAGAAATCTTTTCGCCTTCAGCGCTTAAAGTTTGAAAATCATCACCAAACTTTTGATGTAAGCGCTGTTTCAGGTCATAGAATAAAGCAGTTATACCACCAAGATTTGCTTGAAGTTCGAAAATCTTCGCATCTTTAACAGAGTTCTCCTGTTCAAGGTTAGAAACTCTCACATCCAGACTACGGATCAGTAAGTCCTTCTCAATGGAATCCTGCTTCAAAAACATAATCTCTTCTTTAAGCTCAGAGATGGTTTGATGGGAGTCTTCATCACCTCCTTGCCTGGAGCCAATAGATATTCCTTTTCCTTTAGATTGAGAAATGGAATCTTGAAAAGCAAGTAACTTGGCTATTTTAATAGATGCAGCATCGTGCTCTGGAGGTGGTGGGGCAGAAGAGCTTCCCGAAGCAAATGATTCCTCATTAGCCATTTGACTTTGAACATCTTCTTGGACAGGGGATGGTTCAATGATTGGGCTTTGAACATCTTGAATAACTTGAGCTAGCTCAATAATCGGACTTTGAACATCATGAGTAACTTGAGCGGGCTCAAAAATCTAAGAAGGCTGTTGTACTAGTTCAGTAGAAAGCACTCCTGGCCTTGGATCTCTACGTTTTCGCTTTTGTGGAAGCAAGGAGCCTTTTGAATTGTCTTTATCACTCCCAGATGGAGAGTCAGAAGTAACAGAAACTGCTTCGGGAGGCTTCCTTGTAGTTGACTGTAATTTGTCAATAAGAGCTTCCATCTGTTCGGGCGTAGGATCGTTTTGTTGCTTAAAAATGTTGATTTCCTTTTCTGTCTCAGCTGGAGAAATCGCAGCCTCATTGACTGGCTCCTTCGTTGATACAAACATACGAAAATCAATACCATCGTAATCACTATCACTCTCATCATCATCATTATCATCACCACCACCATCATCATCATCATCACCATCATCATCATCATCATCAGAAACTTCAAAAGAAGAATTGAGATTTGGTCTTGATGGCACCACGTGTTCTTCGGCCACCACAACAGTTTGAGCACTTGAAGTCTGAACACCTTCTGTCTCTGCAAATTTTCCAAATTTCACCAGCTCTTTTAATCCTTGATAGATGACTTTTGTGGATTGTCTTGATTGCATCATGAGCCCAAAAGTGCTAGGACCCAAGGCTTTCATATCCAAGGTGTCAGATGACCTCTCAATTTAGGGATATTTTTCATTGAAGATCATTTGAAGGAACCTGAGACACATTAAGAACTGATCCTTCTTCCTCCCCTGGAGGTTTCTTTTCAGTTCTTCAAAGACAAACTTTGAAAAGTTGTAATCCCAGTTCATTGTTAGAGCGACAAAAGCTGAGGTCGTAGTCTGAGTAATCTCATCAAATCGTCCCTTCCTTCCAGAAATACAACTTACAAATTAATGCGCTAGAAACCTCCAATAAGGTGGCAGCTGCTTCTTGACGGTGGGAGGATAGGTTCCTTCATAGCACATTTTCTCAAGTACCTCCTTCACTTGACTAGCAGGGTACTCAATTGGAAATGCAGGGGCATCACCAAACTCAAGCGCTTCTCGAATAACTTGCTCAGAGACAACTACTTTACTTCCCTTAACCACTGATTCAATAGTACCAACTCCATCTGCTCCATGGTTACTAATAGAGGCATTTTTCCAGAAATCAGCAATCAGGTCCTTGAAGACAACTGGATTAGAACGCAAAGCGTGAGAAATTCTGTAATTATTCAAGCCCACAGTCATGGATTTGAAATCTCGATGAGCAGCAGGAGGGTCCATAAGATATCCGGCAACATTGTGATTGTCAAAGAACTTTAACTGATTCGTCATTTAACTGTACCAAAAGAGTCAAATGAGAATAATAAAAGTTAATATTAAAATTTATTTTCTCAAAAAAAATTTGTCCAAAAATATTGATTTCGGTCCAAAATTTATGTTTTCGGTCAAAGTCAAGGTTTATGTGTTTTCGGTCAAGATCGTTTCCGGTCAAATTACTTTTGACCAAATATTTGCGGTCAAGGTTTGCGGTCAAGGTCAAGCTTTCCATCGTTTACGATCAAAGCAAAAGGGGTTTTCTGTCGGATCCGGATCAAGTTGAAAACCCGAAAAAAAAAACCTGACGATTCATCTTTAACAGATACGCCGGAAAAACCCCATTACCTACCTGCAATCACTTTAAAAACACAATAAAATGGAAACACGATGTTTGTACTATGTATACCTTGAGAAGATTTCAAAAAACAAGTGAGATTTGATGACTTTTTGAACCGCAGATGAAAGTATCGTTCTCGATGAACAATAAGAAAACGCCTAGGGTTTTGAGAGGATGCAACTGATTTCGGTGAGATGAAAAATGAGGCGAAAAGAAAAAACAATTTGCTTTTATATTCAACGAGATGGGTTCTCGTCCTTTTGGATTTTAATTTGGTTGGGCCTAAAACAACACCATTTAACAATTCGTTTCTCAGATAAAATCGAAAAATTAAAGAACAAAATTAAAACTTAGCACACAATAAAATGACAACAAAAAAAAAATTAAAAGTACATTCAGAACAAAAATAAAATATTTTTGGATTTTTGATTTTCTGAAAAAGGAAATAAAACAGAAATAAACATATTTTTGGATTTTTTAAATTTTATGATTTTTTAATTAATTCTCCCCCTAAATTTGTGCATAGAGGAAAAATATGAACAAATTTAACTAAGACAAAAATAATAACTAAATTTAAAACTTCTGGGATCAAAGTTGTCAGGGAATTTAATAACTTTTATCAACACACACCTGCATGAATAACTCTAGTCAATCACCAATATTGTGGTCTACTTAAACACAAAGGATATTGACAAGTTGGACAAATTATAAGTGACAAGACATTGCACCTATATTCCTAAATATACCATTTTGCTGACTCACGACCAATGATATTGTTGTCCACTTAAATTCAGCAGCGAGATGTACATACAACCTTTTAAATGGTTCAATTTTAGATGCACTAGAACGTGTTCCCCACTTCCCGACATACCCCGACAATCAAGAATTTCCAAAGAAATCATTACTTTAGGTGAGTAGTCAATCATTAAGAGAGAAGTCAGATTTAAAGATGCATATGTTGTATACCCAGATCGGATCTCTTCCAATCACGCAAAGACACAACATATGGCTAACTAGAATAGAGGGATTGAGAGGTAGAATTTTGCATATGCTGTGTTCCAGGTCGGATCTTTTCCAATCACGTGGAGGAGACAACATATGGCTAACAGATAGAAAGAATTTGCATAGATAAGGAGATGCATAGAGATAGAGTTGCATATGTTGCATTCCAGGTCGGATATGTTCCAATCGCGCAGAGGAGGCAACATATGACTGACAGATAGAAAGCAAGAAAATAATTTCCTACAGACCTACTTTATCAGAACCCCTAGTCGCTCTATCAGTACCAGAATTAAGGACATAAGTCCGTTCATCGAAGAAGTGTTGAGCCACAGTTCTAGATACATATAACTTTAATGTATCTCGCAGGTTCTCTAGTTTATCTCACTGCTCAATCTACCCCGAGCGCTGTATGGTCAGTCCAAATGAAACTATCTAAGTCCACACTGTCAAGTCCTTTCATTGTCAATATATGTCTAGTCCTTTTAAATCCTTCGTGCCTACCAGCACATTGAGCACAGAGTCCAGACAATTCAGCTTCAGTGTATTACACGCCTCTCATATTTCCCTTTAGCACTAGACTTCATATCACTTCCCAAAAATACTTACGAAAGAAAACATATTTTTGTATTTTTGATTATATAATTTATTTATTTATTTATTTTTAAACTTTTTGGTTTCTCCCCCTAAATTTGTGCATGGAGAAGAAATGAAATAAATAAATAAGCAAATTTAAATAAACAAAAAATAAAAATAAATAAATAAATAGAAATTTAATCTTTGAAACGAATCATTTTTAGAAAGCTCACAAGCACATCGAACCGAGCTTTACTGAAAGGTTTGGTAAACAAATCCGCCACATTGTTATCAGTGTGAATTTGTTCCAACCGAATGAGTTTATGCTCATAACAGTCTCGAATAAAATGAATTTTAATGTTAATGTGCTTGGTTTTGGAATGTTGAACCGGATTTTTAGCAATTTGAATGGCTGCATCATTATCACAAAAATGGAAGTGTCAAGAAAGTTCAAACCGTAATCCAGCAATTGGTGTTGAATCCAGATAACCTGAGAGCAACAGGCTAAAGCAGCAACATATTCAGTCTCAGCCGTTGAGGTCGACATCGTTTGTTGTTTCTTGCATTGCCATGACACCAATCGGTCCCCTAAAAACTGACAACCACCCGGTGTGGATTTCCTGTCAAGATCACACCCTCCATAATTGTTGTCAGCAAAAGCATATAAATCGAAATCAGCACTTTTAGGATACCAAAGACCCAAATTAGGGCTACCTTTAAGGTACCTAAAAATTCTCTTAACAGCAATTAAATGAGAGAGTTTAGGATTAGCCTGATAATGAGCGCATTGACAAACGACAAACATGATGTCAGGTCTGCTGGCAGTCAGATACATCAGAGATCCGATCATTGATGGATATTCAGTTTGATCTACGGATTCCCCATCTGGATCTGGAGTCAACAGTGGTATTTCTTCCATTGGAGTTGAAGCAATTTTTGAATCTTTAAAACCGAACTTTTCTAGCATGCCTTCCACATATTTGCCTTGATGCAATAAAATTCCGGCTGAATCCTGTCCAACCTGTAACCCTAGGAACATTGTCATCTCACCCAACGAGCTCATCTCGAATATTTTCTTCATTACATCCTCGAACTCTTTGCATAGCTCTATGCTGGTCGACCCGAAGATGATATCGTCTACGTAGATCAGTACAACAATCAAATTTGCATCCGCTTTCTTGATGAATAATGTCTGATCGATCGTTCCCCTTGTGTATCCGTGCTCAAGCAAATGTTCAGTTAGGGTAGCATACCAAGCTCTAGGAGCCTGATGCAACCCATATAGAGCCTTGTCCAGCTTGTAAACATGATTTGGAAACTTTGGATTAACAAACCATGGTGGTTGATCAAAATAAATCTCCTCATTCACGAATCCGTATAAGAAGGTTGTCTTGACATCCATTTGATAAACTGTAAATCCCATGTAGGAAGCATATGCTAGGAATATACAAATGGTTTCCAAATGTGCTACATGAGCATATACTTCTGTGTAGTCAAGACCCTCTATCTGCCTGAATCCGCGAATGACCAAATGAGCTTTATTGCGCACAATAAACCCACTATCATCTTGCTTATTTCTGAAAACCTAACGCGTGTCCAAGGACTTATTGCCCTTTGGTAGCTCTACCAACTGCCATACTCTCAACTTCTCAAACTGATTTAGTTCTTCATGCATTGCATCTACCCAACTTGGTTCATTTAATGCCATGGCTACACTCTTTGGTTCAATTTGGGATATAAAGCACGAATAGAGACATTCGTTGACATCTCGACTTTGACTTCTGGTTTGAACCCCGCTTTCTAGTGGACCAATAACGTTTTGAATAGGATGATCAAGTTGAATTGTGGATGGGATAGTGTTGGGTTTTGAGCACTATAACTCTCCTATGGTGCACATGCAACCCGAAATTCTTTGGATCTATGTTTTCTCTATTATACATGCATATTTTCAGTTTTTCCAAAGCATTGTCCTAACTAGCATACAAATTTCCAAATGAATAATACATTATACATCTAGATAGATGACATACCTTTTAGAAGGACTTGTAGTTCTTGACCTTTGAAAGCTTGAGCACCTCAAGGGTGATGCCTCTAATGGTTCACAAACACCAATATGCAAAAGGATGATTTAAGAGAATAAGATACTTATCTCAAGGAGAAGGTGTAACCGATTTTGGCTCATGGAGGGTCTATTTATAGTGTTGCACATGTTAGGGTCACACTTTGTAAACCCTAATGCTCCTTGACTTTCCACATTCTTATGCTCCATGGGTTTAACCTCCATGGACTATCCATGGATTAACTTATTGGTTTAGCCCACAATCATGGATCATTAGCCCACACTACAAGAACGATTGATTTACATAATCAATCCCCATATATTTAATTAGTCTCTTTTGAC